GTTTTTCTTTTAGAGATTCACAATGCATATTGATCTATTAATGCTCTGAGAAATCCCACAGCAAAGAAGTCTATTTGCTTCTATTTAATCCAGTTTCCCAAACTCAGCTGACCATGAATTTTTTTTCAAATAACTCTGAATAATAATAATTCAGTGAAAACCCACTTTGGGACATGCTGCTCTACACCAAATCTAGATTATAGACTTTGGTGGCTAAAGATAGACTTGGTATACAGTGATTAATTCTTTCTCCTCTAACTGGGGTCTTTGCCAACTCAGTTTCTCCCAAAATTTAGGGCCAGTTTTACAAAGAGATAAAGTAGACAGTTGCTGACTTGCTTAAATTTCAGGGACAATAGGTAATAATAATTAATAATAATGGTAAACACATACACAATATCCACTACATATCAGGTAATTTCTTAAGCACTTCATTTTTGTTAACCACTTTAGCTGTTATGACAATCCTGTGAGGTAAGCACAATTACTCCCAGTTAGAAGGATGTGCTATTTGAGCTAGGATTAAGAAATGAGGAAGATTTCAGTGAGAGAGTGAACGAGTGAATGAATGAATGAACAAATCCCTTAGGAAAATGAACAGTTTCTGTTATTTTCATGGTGCAAGAGGAAAAGGATTAGACTTGGATGCTGTATTGGCAGGGGCTGCTATTAGCTCTGTGCCTTCGGGCAAATCACTTCATTTTCTACACTTCAGTTTATCCATCTGTAAAATTGGAATAATAACCATTCATTTCCCAGGATTTGTTTTAAGAATTAAATAAAATCATGTCCGGAAAAGTGCTTCATGTGAAATGCTAAATGTCATAAAGATGTTAGGTTTAACGATGCTTCTTAATTCCTCTTGTACATTGTCTCTTAAGAATTCAATGAGATGAGGGGCGCCTGGGTGGCTCAGTCGGTTAAGCGTCCGACTTCGGCTCAGGTCATGATCTCGCGGTCCGTGAGTTCGAGCCCCGCGTCAGGCTCTGTGCTGACAGCTCAGAGCCTGGAGCCTGTTTCAGATTCTGTCTCCCTCTCTCTCTGACCCTCCCCCATTCATGCTCTGTCTCTCCCTGTCTCAAAAATAAATAAACGTTAAAAAAAAAAAAAAAGAATTCAATGAGATATTTGAGAGCTTACTCTGTGGCAGGCATTATTCTATGTACTTTCTGGATACCATTCATCCATTTACTGTCCCAACAATCCTATAATGTAGGTGTTATTACTATGGCCATTCTGTAAATGTGGAAATGAAGGCACAGAATGCTTCTCGGTTGTCTTGCCAACCATCACACCGCTGTTAAATCTTAGGGCCAGATTCAAACTCAGGGGGTACATGAGCATCCCTGATGAGAGACTAAAGATAGTAAATGATGTCTTCAGTCTGAGCCAATTATTCTACATCAAAAATCAGCTGAGAATGGACGGATATGACAAGGTGAACTTCCTTTGATGGGCAGAGATCAAGACCCCTCTTCTTCACTTCCATCACCAGACAAATAATAAACGTGTGACTGATCATAAGAAACACAGAGCTTGGATTTTCTCTCCCAAAATATTTTCTGCCCTTTACTTAAACCACTGATTAGACAAAAAACTAAGGTATAAAAATATAGAGATTTCACAAGGCCTTTTTAAAAATGGAATAGGTGAGCCTTGTCCTAGTGAAACCCAACCTGACAAGGTCATTGTTAATGATACAAAACCAACAGCTGGATGATAAATCAGAAAAATGAGGCCCAACATTCAGTCAAATCAAGTGGCATTTATCTGCAGTGTAAAGGGCTCTCTAACATTTGTATTTCATTGGTATGAGAGTTCCAACAGAACCCTAAAGTGATTATATAGAACACCAAGGCTTTTTAAGAGTTTCTAACTTAGCAAGCCATGGTAATTTAAAAGGGAACGGATGAACTGCTAGAAGCGAGGAGCTTTCTGCTGAAGAATACAAATGTGTTCTCTGCTATTGCTTCTGCCTCTTTCTGGGGAAAAGCAAAACGCACACAGGAATGTGATGGAACTTTCCAGCTGGTGGTTTTGCATTATCAGGAAGGAAAGTGTTTGTGAAAATGAAAATTACTGATAATTAGTTGTGAATGCCTGTAAGGGAGAAAAATGGAGAACATTGCAGAATCTTCATTTCTATCAAGGGCTGACCCTCATGGGTGGCAGTGTGAATTGGTACAACCTTTCAGAGGGGGTTTTAGCAAGGCGCTGACACTTTGACCCAACAATTCCACTTCCAAGAATCTACTTTATAGTGATATTTGCACATGTACACAAAGGTCCTTGTATGAGGATGTTCACCGTAGCATTGTTTGCACGTTTGAAAAATGGAAATGAACTCTTTCAATATGAAAATGTTTAAACAAACGATGGCATATCCATAGTTTAGAAAAATTTGCTACTAGTAAATGGGATGACATAGATCTATATATTTGACACAGAAAGATGTCCCCAGTATGTTAAGTGAAAAGGGCACATTGCAAAATACTGTCATATGATTCCATTTAAACCTGGGCAGCTCAGTCGGTTAAGCATCTGACTTCAGCTCAGGTTATGATCTCAAGGTTTGTGAGTTTGGAGCCCCGTGTCAGGCCCTGTGCTGACAGCTCAGAGCCTGGAACCTGCTTTGGATTCTGTGTGTGTCTCTCTCTGCCCCTCCCCCGCTCATGCTCGCGCACTCACTCTCTCCATTAGAAATAAAATAAACATTAAAAAACTTTTTTTTAATGTTTTTAATGTTAACATGTATGTAGAAAAATATCTGGAGGAATATGTACCAGAGATTACCAGTGGCTGTTTCTGAGGGATGGTATACATGTTTTTGTAATGTTTACATTTTTATTTGCAAAGAATGGGGAGGGGGGGAATACAAAACAAAGTTGAATTATTTTCTGGAGGGAAGAACGAAAGAAACACAGCTGGTGGAGATTTATTCACTGTATTTGGGTGAAAGGTTTTAGTGTAATTCTGCAGTGAGTGTGTTTCAGATTCTGACAATCTGGGCAAGGGTGCTATTTAGTCCGAATGCTATTTAGTCCGGTGCTATTTAGTCCAAAATGGCTGTGCTCGTGCTGGGAGACTGAGACACACTGTGTCTCCCTTCCGCCGCCCTTATTCTGGTCTCTGGGTTGTACCTCTGGCTATTGCTGCTGCTCCTCAAAACCTTAGCTGACAGATTTCCCTTTTCTCACAGGTCGGCCATTTTAGAAGGCACTAAAACATGGTGGTAAACAGCTTGGCCTTTGGAGTTCCAGAGCCTTGGGTTCAAATCCCAACTTCTCCACTCTCCTAACCTTGTGACTTTGAGAAATTTGCTTCTCCTGTTAGGCTGTCTGTTTCCTCACATGAAAAATGAGTTTAGAGAACCTGCCTACTGGGGTCTTTGGAATGATGGAAAGAGATAAGTATAGAAAGCACTTGGGAATTTATCTTGATGAGCCCGCAGTAATATTTGGAACTGTTAAATCACCATAATGAACACCTGAAACTAATGTAACACGGAATGTTAACTACACCAGAATTAAAATTTTTTAAAAAGAAAGTGCTTGGGAATGATAAGTAAATGAACAAATATTACCTATAATTATTGTCATCATGGCCTATCAGTCTCTTTGTAAAACTTCCTTTCATCTATCTTCTGCCTGATAAAATCCTACCCATTCTTCAAGCCCCCGCTCAGATGCCATCACTGCAAAATCTCCTCTGGTCTCTCCCCACAGAGCCAGAACTGATCAACGCTCCCATATCAGAGGTCTCGCCAGATGCTGGGTGCCTCAGCTTCATTACTGCATGTTACGAGTTCTGGGTTTGCTTGTCCCTCCCCTTTATAGACCCTGAGATCCTACAGAGTTTGAATTCACATAATTACTTTTCAAATTAAATTAATCTCATCCTTGCCTCTATCATCCGCCAGGCATCTTTAGTTCCCAGTGAAACTATGGTAACAACATCCTAACTGCTCTCCCTCCCCCTGCTTACCCCGTTCTAATCTGAACTAACATTCAGCCCTGGATTTTAGCTCCCCTTTTGCCACAGGCTATTGTGATCCTAAGCACATTGCTTTCTCTCTCTAACATGTTAGCTTTCTCATCTGTAATGTGGAGATAGTAACTTCCTGCCATCCGGTAGTAGAGGGGACTCCTTGAAAACTGCACGTGAAAGGCATCAACATTACCTGAGTGCACCTATTACCACTTATGCTTTTTGAAAGGCAATGTATGTCAGGGAAGAAGAAACAAGTATCTAAAAAGTCTATGTCCTGGAAGTTAAAGTACATCCTGAATGGCCCTGTGATTTTTATCAAGTGTCTCTAGTTATACATAAACAGGTGAGCTCTCACCTGGGGTCCTATTTCCTCCAGAAATTGCATTTGATGTGCCCTCTGTGAGCCCAATCCCAGAGGCAAAGGGGCAAAGGCTCTTCATCACCCTTAGAATGAAATACAAACCTCAGAGAACATTGGTGCAGTCCTTACCATGCATGAACACTTTCATACCCATCACTGGATTTGAAAAGAGCTTTAAGGGAGAAAGAAAAAAAAAAAATCACAGCTAAATCTTAACAGTGATCATCTCTGGATGGTGGAAATGGACATGATTTTAATTTTATGTGTGATTTCCTAAACCCTCAAAATCTTCAATTTTGGAGCTGGGTAGAGACGATGGTAATACAACATTGTGATGTACTGCCACTGAATTGCAAATAAGGTGTACACTTTTACGTTAGTTGTGTGAATTTCACCTCATTAAAAATATTCTTCAATACACATGCATGATTTTATAGCCATTTATTGAAATGTGTTTGAGATGAGAACGAATACGGATTCTTAAGGCTCAATAGCAGTTCAAGTAGCTGACACTCTCCTGCACCCGTCTTTCCAAGTCACTTGCCTAGGCGGCTAGCCTGCAGCGCGCTCCTCCGACCACCAGGGGTCTCCGCGGAGCCCTCGCGTCCCCACCCGCGGAAGAGCGTCACCTCTTGCGCCTTTGAAACGCGTGTGCTGCCGAGAGGCGTGGTCGGGTTTGGCAGGTCGGCCGGCCAGACCGCCGACCACCTGGACCACCCCCCGGCTCTTCTCGGTCCTGGGCTGGGGCTGGCCTGTAGCCCCTAGCCCTCGCCTGTCCCTCCACTTCCCACCCCCGGCTGCAGTCTTCTGCTGCTTCCAACTCCCCACCCTTAACTGCCTGCCCCGGTATCTGTCCCCCCCCCCCCCCCCCGCCGCCGCCCTCCGCCCTGCTCTGCCCCTCCAAGGGCCGTGTCTCTGAGCCCCGACCCCATGGCGCTTCAGGCGCTGCAGAGCTCGGGGGTGGCCTTCCGCAAGATCCTGTCTCACTTCCCCGAGGAGCTGAGCCTGGCTTTCGCCTACGGCTCCGGGGTGTACCGCCAGGTGGGGCCCAGTTCAGACCAGAAGGTGAGCCTGGCCCCGGGGCAGGCCCCACGTCGGGACTCGGCCTCATCGCACGAGGTGCCTTTTGCCTTGGATCCCTCCAGAGCCCTCGAGCTGCCTCTACTACGAGCACTCCACGTATCAGCTAGCAAAGTGCAAACTGTGGGAAAGTGTTCCTGGTATAATGACATCATGAGCTGAATTTTGGAGGATAAGTAGGAGCCCACTTTCTCCGGTCTGGAACAGAAGATGCAGTTATGGGGAGGAGAAAGCTGATGCAGAGGCAAGATGGAAGGAAGGAAATATTTGCCTGGTGCTGGTTCAGCGTACTCAGCCTTGGCAGAACATTGGAGTTTTCCGAGGAGCTTTAAAATGCTGATGCCTGGGTTCCACTTGCGGAGATTCTGATTTACTTGGTGTAGGCTCAGACCTGGGCTTCAGATATTTTAAAAAATACCCTGCTGATTCTGATAACGCAGCCAAATTTGAGAGTCACATGTATCGCTGTGGGAAAAAATACAACATGAGCCTCTTGACTTCAGGAAGCTGAA